TATGGTTGTCTTTTGTAGCACTGTTTCTGGTTGTTAGGATTCCTTCTTGGGGTGACCCTTGGAATGATGAATTTCCACACACCTTATTTTCCAGACAAGTTTCCTCCTATAGCTGCGCTAGGAGTCAGGCATGATGAAGTGGGCATGCCTGCAGTGGTTTCTGCCCTGTGGCATCCACTTTCCCTTGTGTGAGTGTATGATTCCAGTCCTGGGAGAGGAAGCTCCACCTGGTGGTTAAGAGATCCAACCCCTAAGCCCTTGTCTTTCGTGAAGATGCAGCCCGACCTTCTCCTAGAGCCATAAACCCTCCCCACTGAGAGGACCCTGGGAACCCTTCTGCATCCACAGTGGTAGAAACGTCCTCCCTATGAGCTCTCTGAGGTCCCAGGCACCAGTGGAGACCCAGCTTAGTTCTCTGTTCCTGCTGGCGTTCCACCTGCATCTGGAAATTTCATTTCCCGTTTACTTGCGTGTGTCTGTGGCTGCATATTTCAGACGTACTGTGAGTGGCAGTCCTGGTATTCTGAGCAGACACGGTCTCCGGAGGGCACACGAACCAGCCACCTGACTGCAGAGTCTGGCCCCAGGACCCCGTCACCACAACAGGACCCCCAGCCCATGCTCGTCCCCCTGGTCTGGAAACTCACAGCTCCCATCCCTCCCGTGACCTTGACACCAAATCCCCACAACCACTCGGGGGGGTGAGTTCAGGACGACATGCCGCAGATGGGAACTGAGGCTCAGAGCAAGGACATTACCTCCCAAGTTCAAGCTGGTAGGTGACAGTCCAGGAATAGTTCAATGAAGATCCACTTTCCTTCAGAATCAGAGCTCTAGCCCAAATTAATGTCCCCTAACGCTTACATCCAGGACCCCACAGGATGGGGAGGACGGCTGTGTCCCAGGAACAAGGGGCACCGAGGAGCCAGGAGAGACCCACGGGGATGTTCCCAGGAAGGGGGCAGGTGGACAATGCCAGAGCAAAATAGAGAAGTTCATGCAGGTGGTGAAGAAAGAGAGCCCATATCTGGGGCCAGGAGAGGGGCTGTGTTTCCTTCCCTATTTGCCTGTATTTCTCCTCCGGGCTCATTGCCACCGTGACCTCGAGAGCCGAGCAGAGACGTCACACGTGTGTCTCTGCTGAGATGAGCTCCCAGCAAAGCAGGAGCCCACGTCCCCTGCAGCATCTCTGGGATCTGGGGCCCCGTCCACGCTGAGGACCCCAGGGAGGTGCTGAGGATGAAGGAGAACCATGGGGGAGGCTCTGGGAGGGAAGGACATGCCCTGGTCTCCTCACCTGGATGGGGCATCGCAGGGAGCCTCGGGGTCCACTTGCTGCACCATCATGGACACCAGAGCCAGACTAGGCCCCGAGGAGGGGCTCTTCCCCTTCCTGTGGGGCTGCTGACGTGACAACCCCGTGACAAGGAGGATCAGCCTCTGCGTGACCACACCCTGTGTGTCTGCCCGTCCTGTGGGCACCGAGGTCCCTCCCTAGGCACTGCTAGAGCCAGAGACAGGAGACGCCATGACCCACACCCTCACGGCCCTGCTCTGTCTCGGTGAGATCTGAAGCGGGGAGGGGACGCCCTATTCTGGGAGGGACCCGCCCCACAGCCAGGCCCTGGGCTGTCAGAGGCCCCAGACTGAGAGGCTCACGGGAGGAGGGGTTCTGCTCAGGATTCGGGCCAAACCTCTCACAGGAACTCTCTTCCAGGGCTGAGTGTGGGCCCCAGGACCCGAGTGCAGGCAGGTGAGTCTGTCCCCAGGGGTCCCAGGCCCACCTCCTCACTGGGGACAGGGGTCACCCACCAGGCAAAGGGGATGGAGAACAGCAGTTCTGGGCTGACGGGGGGGACGTCTGGGGGTTTGGGGCAGAGCTGGGACCTGCGGGTGCGAAAGGTCTTGTGTCCCAGCCTCTGTTTCCTTCCAGGGACCCTCCCCAAACCCACCATCTGGGCTGAACCAGGCTCTGTGATCCCCTGGAGGACATCTGTGACCATCTGGTGTCAGGGGAGCTTGGAGGCCCAGGAGTACTGCCTGCGTAAAGAGGGAAACACAGGGACCTGGGACAAACCTCCTGCACTGGAGCCCGGGGACAAGGCCAAGTTCTCCATCAGACACATGGCAGATGTACATGCTGGACAATATCTCTGTTCCTATCGCAGTCCCACTGGCTGGTCAGAGCCCAGTGACCCCCTGGAGCTGGTGGTGACAGGTGCGAGCCCACTCAGGGTACCAGCCCCAGGCTCTGCCCTCAGGAAGGGGGTCTGCTGTCAGGTGTCTCCCTCTCACAGCCCAGCCCTGGGGATGATGTGGGGGATCTGGGCCCCATTTAACACCATCCCCTCCACCTCTCCTAGGATTGCATGGCAAACCCACCCTCATAGCCACACCCAGCCCTGTTGTGACCTCAGGAGGGAACGTGACCCTCCAGTGTGGCTCATGGGTGGGATTCGACAGGTTCATCCTGATGAA